CTCTGGGTTTTTCGGCAGTGTGTGAAACTAAACCAGAGCTATGCACCAGGGCTGCTGTCACACAACCTGGCTTTACAACTGATGGGCTGATAGAGAAGAGCAGCCACACTGCTGCCTGAAAAGGTCAACTCGAACCTGACCATCATTCACAGTTAGAACTTGCGGTTCATAATGTTGTAAAACACATCACAGAGTGAAAACATTTTTACATATTTATTAACTCTCAAAGTCTGCTGTTGTCAGTAATTCAAAAAGTTTATAGTTCATATTACATTTTAAAGTTAATCGGCACAGCTCGCCACATGGCACTAAGAGGTGCCATGTGGCGAGCTTAACTCTTAGATGTTATACTGTTTATATTGCTGCGTTCGATTGAAAGTGTCTGAAGAAGAGGGCACGAGACTGGAAATGTTGCACATGTTAATTTAACTATAACTCTAACATACTTATATTCAGACATTAATGGAACACACTTAACAAGTCTGCGTTTGGGCAGACTTGTAATCGTGCTCGCTGACGGGAAGTAAAAGGAAGAAAGAAACATGAATGTTGTTCTCTGTGTGCGCACTGCTGAGAAAGGACAGGGAGACGTGTTTTTATTCTGCTCACTGTAAAAAGTTAAACAAGATGTATCCTCATATGCACTGGTATTTTTCCCTCCCTCTGACTCTCCATCAGGTTCAGTTCAGAGTAAAACTCCAAGTATTTATTGTTTTGCAGTCGTTGCAGGAGCACGAATATGTGGAGCTCGGCTAGAAAAAGCGATTGAAGACTGAGTAAATTACATCACAAAACTGAACATATGTTAGCATAAACAACCTAAAGATTGGACATTGTTGTAGAATATCCACCCTAATGTTGCAGTTTTCCTCAAAATCAAAGAAAAAACACTTTTCAGAGATAAACTGAGAGCTCGATTTGGTAAGTGAGCCATTTAGTGGAGCCATCTGTAATAATAATAATAATAATAATGGATTGCATTTATATAGCGCTTTTTTGGGACCCCTCAAAGCGCTTTACAATACCACTATTCATTCACTCTCACATTCATACACTGGTGAAGGCAAGCTACAGTTGTAGCCACAGCTGCCCAGGGGCAGACTGACATGTAAAAGGGGGCATCTGCTGTGTAAAAGACCGATGACGATGACGGAGCAGTTTTGTAGTACCCAAACTTTCACATTTTCACACAACAAAAAGGAGCTTTTCCAGACTCCTCTAGCGCTACAGTGCAGCAGTGCTGCTGCAGCAGCATAGAAACAGAAGTGGTGTTCAGTGTCTATCTCAGTACTGTGACAATGCAAAATGCAAATGCTTTATGTGCTGCAGCCTCACAGTTTGTAGATGAACAGCTGCCCTGTTTAACTGCCCCTCTGTGGAGACCTGCTCATCCTTTAGGTACTAAGGATATCTCACACACTCAGACAAGCAGCTCCATTCATGGCTGCACGCGAGCATCAGGTGCACCGAGATCTCAACCCATATACATCATTACTGCGTGTCCACAAACATTTCTGAACTTTTATTTATCCTTTTGCATTCACGCACAC